CCAGCCCTGGGTCCCGGAGGCTGATACGCGCACCCGGCCTGGCAGCCTCCTGCACGCACGTGGGGCCCGGCCCCTCTCTGCTCCCGCACCACACAAAGCCTCCAACCCGCAGTGGGCAGGAGGGGAGGCAGCGAGGGTTCTGAGGGGCCCAGAGCAGAGCTTCCTGGCACCGGCCCCGAGAAGGTGAGTTCTCAGGGTGGGCAGAAGGTCCCTTCCTCCATGGGGCTAGTGCCCATCCAGGCACCCGCGCCGCGTGCGCCCTTCCTTTGTCCCATTTGTCATTTCATCCTAGCAGCACGAGTTGAGGGCCCCTAGGTTGACAGTTTCCTCGAAAGGGAAATGCCAGTCCTAGGCCGAGGCTGCCCAGGCCCTAAGGACCCCTCGTGGGGCAGGCGCCACTTCCTGTTCTCCCCTTTCCCCCTGCCCCTATCCAGCAGTGCCGCCCCAGAATTCCTCCTGTGAACTCCACCACCCTTCAACCCTCTCTGCCTCTCTCTCCACATCATCCTAGGTTTCCCCCACGAGCTCCGAAAACTTTCACAAATGCTATTGAGTTAATACACGCGCGCCACCAGCTCCCACACAGAGACAGGGAAGAGCGTTCTGTCGCTGTTTTAACTCCAAAGCGTGGGTAGGAGAGGAAGCGGGCTGGCCAAGTTTGGGGTGATGGAGGTCTCACTGGGGAGGGCCTTCCTCTAGCCGCCCCCCTCTGCTCCCAGATAGGGGCTCTGCCTGGCCCAGACCACTTGGCAGGTGAGAGGGCGGGACCAGCGGCTGCCCATTGTTCTGCTATAAAATCCTAAGAAGATGCTCATTCAGGCATCCCTTGCTCGTCCATTCTGGAACTTTTGCCGAAAGCCTTCTATATGCCGAGGACTTCTGATTTTTTAAACGCCATCAGGACATCACTTTGAGCCCCCACTTCCAAAGTCAGGTTGTTCCAACAGGGTATCCAGCCATCAGCTCCAAGGCCTGAGCTAAGAGGGGCGCTTACATATATATTTAAAACCCGCCCATCGAGTGTGGCTCAGTGGTTGAGTGTCGACCTATGAACCAGGAGGTCACAGTTCAATTCCTGATCAGGGCACATGCCCGGGTTGCAGGCTCGATCCCCAGTAGGGGGCGTGCAGGAGGCAGCCGATCCATGAGTCTCTCTCATCATTGATTTTTCTCTCTCTCTCTCCCTCTCCCTTCCTCTCTGAAATCAATAAAAATATATTAAAAACAAAACGAAACAAAACCCAGAGCTCTTGTGCTGTGAGTGTGCCCCCAGGACCTGTTTCATTGGGGGGGAGGTCCCCTGCCTGGGAAAAATTGTCAAACAAGTCAGATGTGTTATATGCCATACCACTGTCCTTCACTCTGGTGCCCCTGTCCTGAGGCTGACCCCTGGCTTGACCAGTCCCGACCTGAGACACCCACCTCCTCCAGGAACCCCACATCTGCCCCAAACGTGTTGAACTCAGACGAGTGGAGGCATATCTGGGAGTTGCCAGGGCTGGGGAAGGAAGCATATGAGACGGAGGACGAGAACCCCAGCTGCCCCTTACATCTCCTTGTAAGCCAGGTTTCAAAGGCAGTCACTTATTTGATCCTTGTAAGCACCCCAACTTTGAGCAGCCAGAGGGCGCTCTGTGCGGTCAGTGTCCTGGCACAGTGACAGGGAGGGGTGCCAGCTCTGTCGCCTTCACCATATGCCTTTCCAGGAGACCTCAGATCCCACTGGAGACCATGGTGCCCTTGTACCAGCCCTGCCCACCCTTCCCCAACCCGCTCTCGACCTGTGCTGCGGAGGATTACGCATCCTCTGCCCGGGTCAGCCCCTGGGACACAGTGCTGATTCTGTAAAAGCCCGGCTGTAGCTGGAAGACAATGAACAGTGGGACCCCGTGATTTGTTAGAAAAGGAAGAACCTCTTTTCGGAGTAAATGTTCAAGGATTAAGGCATGAGAAGTGAAAGAGGAGTGAAGAATGACACTTGTGTTGTCTGGACGGACAGAACTGGGGTATCTTTTTCTTAAGCTCTTGATTCTCTTTCTTAGAAAACGAGGCTTTTGATGTTGTGGCCTCGGAGGGCCTGCGCCGCCCTGGGAAGCGTGGACGGTACCGTGAGGGGCAGAGCTTTCTTCCAAGGGGCTCTTCTGAGAGACACACCTCTTACTCCTAAATGATGATTTTCAAAGTTACATTTCTGCACAGACAACAGCATGGTGATTACCAGAGGGGAAGCGGGTGGGGGAGGTAGAAGAGGGTAAAGAGGGGAGAAGTGGTGATGGCAAGAGTCTGGCCGGTGTGGCTCAGTGGTTGAGAGTTGACCTATGAACCAAAAGGTCACGGTTTGATTCCAGGTCAGGGCACATGCCAAGGTTGCGGGCTCAATCCCTTGTGTGGGGTGTGCAAGAGGCAGCCGATCCATGATTCTCTCTCATCATTAATGTTTCCATCTCTCTCTCCC